CCTTGCATAGTAGGCTGAGAAGTACGTTAGAAAACTGGCTACTAGGTACGACTAGGTATATATATATATATATATATATATATATATATATATATATATATATATATATATATATATATATATATATATATATATATATATATTATATATATATATATATTATATATGTCGTACCTAATAGCCAGAACGCACTTCTCAGCCTACTATTCAAGGCCCGATTTGCCTAATAAGCCAGTTTTCATGAATTAATGTTTTTTCGTCTACCTAACCTAACCTAACCTAGCTTTTTTTGGCTACCTAACCTAACCTTACCTATAAATATAGGTTAGGTTAGGTTAGGTAGGGTTAGTTAGGTTCGGTCATATATCTACGTTAATTTTAACTCCAATAAAAAAAAATTGACCTCATACATAGAGAAAGGGTTGCTTTATCATTTCATAAGAAAAAAATTATAGTAAATATATTAATTCAGGAAAACTTGGCTTATTAGGCAAATCGGGCCTTGAATAGTAGGCTGATAAGTGAGTTCTGGCTACTAGGTACGACATATATATATATATATATATATATATATATATATATATATATATATATATATATATATATATATATATATATATATATATATATATATATAATATATTATATATATATATATATATATATATATATATATATATAACTAGAGACCCTAGAGCTTCTTTTCAGCGCCTTGTGGCAATCCAGAGAGGAAATATGCTCACTGCATGCATGGTTCCTGCCCGCCATCTGAGGAGCTGGAGGAGCTGTTCAACTTGTGACAAGCAGCCTTGTACCCTGCATGTAATCAATATTGTAACTTTGTTTGTGTAATGACATTTTCAAATGTCATTTGAATTTTGTCATTTGACAATTTTGTCATTTGACATTTTCAGCAGTCTCCGTGGTGTAGTGGTAAGACACTCGCCTGGCGTTCCGCGAGCGCTATGTTATGGGTTCGTATCCTGGCCGGGGAGGATTTACTGGGCGCAATTCCTTAACTGTAGCCTCTGTTTAACGCAACAGTAAAATGTGTACTTGGATGAAAAAACGATTCTTCGCGGCAGGGGATCGTATTCCAGGGACCATAGGATTAAGGTCTTGCCCGAAACGCTACGCGTACTAGTGGCTGTACAAGAATGTAACAACTCTTGTATATATCTCAAAAAAAAAAAAAAAAAAAAAAAAAAATAATAAAGTTAGATAAATATACACACGTACCAAAAGAATAGGGATGGTAGGAGAAGAAAATATCAAAGTGTTCAGTGGGGATCCACAAGGTCTTCTCTGAGTACTCTTTATTTTCTTCTCCGAGGCTATGGGTCCCTACACTTGCACCAGAGGTGGTACCCCTTCTAGGTATTAAAAAAAAAATGTGTGTGTGGGTGTGTTGCAGAAATAATTTTAATAAAACAATTAACATCGTGTAGTGTACTCCATATATCAAAATATATTTCTTTGAAAACCCGTATCAGTCACTAAACAAAAAAATTGGGCTACTCTTATTACAATTTCGCTACTTTTAGACCGTCAGCTCGCTAGTTTCCGCAATTTGGATGTACCAGCCCTGCGGCCGGACCACAACCGCTGCCGCCCGCCAGTCTCCCACGCACTCCCACCCATCACCTTCAGGAGAGAATTAAACATGTTGTCCTCACTTCAGAATTGTTCCGAACGTTTGTTATGGTTTGAGAAATGTATTTAAGTCGAAAACAAAGAGAGGAACGACAACAGTTATGAGATTGTTGGGTAAGTTACCTGGACACTAGTAACAAAAGTAGTTGCTCATAAATGGTTTATATGAATTTTAACCTTTTAAGATTCCCTATAAAATTCAGACAGTGAGAGGAAAGTTTTTGGTAATTAGACCGTGTTGAGGTGCAGGAAAGGATATTATGGGTGTGGACCATATGCCCAATTTTCTTTTTCCGGACTAATTACGTTGTTGCTAAGTGTAAACAATTGGGTGTAAATCATGGTGCTACATAGCCTTTCCGGTTTGGTGCCTTGTTTTGATAATTACTTACTAGATGTAAATCAGACTTGTTCTACTTAGATGCAGTTTACATTGTACATGACCAACTAAATATCAGGCTATGCTCATCTAAGCTAATCTAACTTCTAACCTCAAAAACATTTGGGTTCCTTCTCGACTCGCAATCGAGAATACAGGGTTCGAATCCCAGGCAGGACAGACATGGTTAGTCGTATTTTTATCACCTAATGCCTCTCCACCTAGCAGTAAATAGGTACCCAGGAGTTAGGTAACATGTTGTGGGGTTGCATCCTGGGGAGGGCCAGTAATTCGGCCTGGGGGGGGGGTGTGGAGGTGACCTCGATATAAGCCTAGCATGTACTGTATGTATATACTGGCTGTCTGTCCCCTGACACAATAAATTATCATCTCATTGAGACGTTGAAAATACCGAACAATTTGTAGGATGGTGCTCTGGACAATTTCTCCAAAATGTCAGATGTACCCCATGGAACCACCTACCTGCCGAAGTTGTAAATTCCAAATTGTGTTTAACTTTAAATCCAGCATGAAAAAATCATGATAAATAGGAATGGGGGGAATGTTTGACAAGTTTGCTAGCATCCTGTTCTCATTGTGGCCACTTGTGTGTTAGTGGTCCCTCAAGTAAATTCAGGTAAATATCCAATGACTGGCTGCCCCCCCCCCAATACAATGAATTACAGTACAGTACTACTATTATTTAAAATGAAGTGTAACCAAAAACTATGTTTTCTAGAATTTAAATTAGTATTATTAATATATATTATAAGTGTGTATAGTTAGGTGTAAGATAGGTTAGTTTAGGTGTTTTTGTTCTGTTTGCAATTACAGTACAGTGCTGTACTTGTAATTGTAGGACAAGTTTTCTTATTCAAGATCTTCTTTGATCCTAATATTTGGGAAATAGTGCTCCATGTTGCCCTTAATTTGATGGAATTTATTTTCATAGTATTTTATATTGGCTTTTCAAATTATTCGCATATATTATTATATTTTCAAATTATTATTTCCAAATTCACGCAGCTCTTGATAAAAAGGAGTTCCCTGTTGGGTTATTTGTGGACCTGCATAAGGCTTTTTGACACTGTCAACCACCAAACCTTCTTCTTAAATTACATCATTATGGAGTCAGAGGACACTCCCTGCAATACCTCAAATCTTATCTTACTGACAGGCTCCAGTATGTTTCTGTGAATAATACAATTTCTCCCACCCTACCCATCAACATTGGTGTTCCTCAGGGCAGCATACTTGGCCCTCTCCTCTTTCTCATCTACGTTAATGACCTTCCAAATGCCTCCCAACACATCAAACCAATTCTATTTGCTGGCGACAAAACCTTCATTTACTCCAGTCCTGACCCCCTTGCTCTAAATGCCACAGTAAATACTGAGCTAGAGAAAGTCCATCTTTGGCTAACTGCCAACAAACTCACCCTTTTACATTGACAAAACGTTTTATATTCTGTTTGGCAAAAAATCCTCTAATAAAATAAATCTCAAAATAAACAACACCCAAATTTGTAAACAAATTAGATGGCAATTTCCTTGGCGTTCTCATTGACCACAAGCTGAATTTCCAGGGACACATTCTAAATATATCAAAAAAAGTTTCAAAAACTGTTGGCATTCTTTCTAAGATCAGATATTATGTACCTCGCCCTGCCCTGGTTACTCTCTATTACTCCCTCATCTATCCATACCTCAACTATGGTATTTGTGCTTGGGGTTCTACTTCCCAAAATCATTTACGTCCTCTAATTACTCAACACAAAGCTGCTATTAGGACAATATCCCAACTCTGGCCCCAGACATCACTCGGTACCCTTACTCAAATCTCTGAATATGTTAGATATTAAGTCACTGCACATTCTCTCTCTTGTTTATTAACATATATAAAATGCTGAACTGTAATGCCAATCCTAACCTCAAAAGCTTCATTGAAGGTTGTAACAGAACCCATGAGCACCGCACCAGAAATAAATAGTTTTGATATTCCTAGAGTACGACTTAATCAACATAGAAATGCTCTAACAAATCAAGGGACCCAGAAATGTGGAATGACCTTCCCAACCATGTAAAAGACTGTACCTCTCTCAACCCGTTAAGATAAAAACTAACCACTACCTAATAAATTCCCTGTTACCATGTCAGTACTGGAAGATGGAATATCATTTGCAAGGGATGAACCAATGGAAGAGAAGAACCTATTGAACTCAATAGCAGAATCAGAGGCTGAAAGCTGACCATCGTTATTAGACAGGAGAGTCGGTTTGTTATTTAAAGACTTCTTTGATCCCAATATTTGTGAAATTGTTCTCCAAGTTTGTTTAATGTTGCTCTTTATTTGGGTAAATTTATCTTCGTAGTATTTAGTTTTGGCTCGTCTAATTATCTTAGATAGCAATAATGAGTAATTCTTTGAGAATTCTTTGGAGACAATTCCTAACCTATACTTCTTCTCAAGGTCATGTTTTTTATTAATAGATTTAAGTATTCCCTTTGTAAGCCAGGGATTGTTAAGCCTTTTGGTTGTGACTTGTTTTGTAAGCGTAAGCATGTAACTGGTTGCAAACACTCAAACGACAAGGCCGACGAAAAAAAGAAATAAAGTTAGATAAATATACACACGTACCAAAAGAATAGGGATGGTAGGAGAAGAAAATATCAAAGTGTTCAGTGGGGATCCACAAGGTCTTCTCTGAGTACTCTTTATTTTCTTCTCCGAGGCTATGGGTCCCTACACTTGCACCAGAGGTGGTACCCCTTCTAGGTATTAAAAAAAAAATGTGTGTGTGTGTGTGTTTGCAGAAATAATTTTAATAAAACAATTAACATCGTGTAGTGTACTCCATATATCAAAATATATTTCTTTGAAACCCGTATCAGTCACTAAACAAAAAATTGGGCTACTCTTATTACAATTTCGCTACTTTTAGACCGTCAGCTCGCTAGTTTCCGCAATTTGGATGTACCAGCCCTGCGGCCGGACCACAACCGCTGCCGCCCGCCAGTCTCCCACGCACTCCCACCCATCACCTTCAGGAGAGAATTAAACATGTTTTCTCACTTCAGAATTGTTCCGAACGTTTGTTATGGTTTGAGAAATGTATTTAAGTCGAAAACAAAGAGAGGAACGACAACAGTTATGAGATTGTTGGGTAAGTTACCTGGACACACTAGTAACAAAAGTAGTTGCTCATAAATGGTTTATATGAATTTTAACCTTTTAAGATTCCCTATAAAATTCAGACAGTGAGAGGAAAGTTTTGGTAATTAGACCGTGTTGAGGTGCAGGAAAGGATATTATGGGTGTGGACCATATGCCCAATTTTCTTTTTCCGGACTAATTACGTTGTTGCTAAGTGTAAACAATTGGGTGTAAATCATGGTGCTACATAGCCTTTCCGGTTTGGTGCCTTGTTTTGATAATTACTTACTAGATGTAAATCAGACTTGTTCTACTTAGATGCAGTTTACATTGTACATGACCAACTAAATATCAGGCTATGCTCATCTAAGCTAATCTAACTTCTAACCTCAAAAACATTTGGGTTCGTTCTCGACTCAAAATCGGTAATTTCGGGTTCGAATCCCAGGCAGAACAAATGGGTGGGTACATTTTTTATCATCTAATGTTCCTGTTCACCTAGCAGTAAATAGGTACCCCAGGAGTTAGGTTAGCTTGTAGGGTTGCATCCTGGGGAGGGTCAATAATACGACCTGGAGGGGCGGGGGTACCTCGATATAGGCCTAACATGTACTGTGTATAAACTGGCTGCCTGTCCCCTGACACGATGAATTATCATCATCTCATTGAGACGTTGAAAATACCGAACAATTTGTAGGATGGTGCTCTGGACAATTTCTCCAAAATGTCAGATGTAACCCATGGAACCACCTACCTGCCGAAGTTGTAAATTCCAAAATTGTGTTTAACTTTAAAATCCAGCATGAAAAAATCATGATAAATAGGAATGGGGGGAATGTTTGACAAGTTGCTAGCATCCTGTTCTCATTGTGGCCACTTGTGTGTTAGTGGTCCCTCAAGTAAATTCAGGTAAATATCCAATGACTGGCTGCCCCCCCCCCCAATACAATGAATTACAGTACAGTACTACTATTATTTAAAATGAAGTGTAACCAAAAACTATGTTTTCTAGAATTTAAATTAGTATTATTAATATATATTATAAGTGTGTATAGTTAGGTGTAAGATAGGTTAGTTTAGGTGTTTTTGTTCTGTTTGCAATTACAGTACAGTGCTGTACTTGTAATTGTAGGACAAGTTTTCTTATTCAAGATCTTCTTTGATCCTAATATTTGGGAAATAGTGCTCCATGTTGCCCTTAATTTGATGGAATTTATTTTCATAGTATTTTATATTGGCTTTTCAAATTATTCGCATATATTATTATATTTTCAAATTATTATTTCCAAATTCACGCAGCTCTTGATAAAAAGGAGTTCCCTGTTGGGTTATTTGTGGACCTGCATAAGGCTTTTGACACTGTCAACCACCAAAACCTTCTTCTTAAATTACATCATTATGGAGTCAGAGGACACTCCCTGCAATACCTCAAATCTTATCTTACTGACAGGCTCCAGTATGTTTCTGTGAATAATACAATTTCTCCCACCCTACCCATCAACATTGGTGTTCCTCAGGGCAGCATACTTGGCCCTCTCCTCTTTCTCATCTACGTTAATGACCTTCCAAATGCCTCCCAACACCTCAAACCAATTCTATTTGCTGACGACACAACCTTCATTTACTCCAGTCCTGACCCCCTTGCTCTAAATGCCACAGTAAATACTGAGCTAGAGAAAGTCCATCTTTGGCTAACTGCCAACAAACTCACCCTTTACATTGACAAAACGTTTTATATTCTGTTTGGCAAAAAATCCTCTAATAAAATAAATCTCAAAATAAACAACACCCAAATTTGTAACAAATTAGATGGCAAATTCCTTGGCGTTCTCATTGACCACAAGCTGAATTTCCAGGGACACATTCTAAATATATCAAAAAAAGTTTCAAAAACTGTTGGCATTCTTTCTAAGATCAGATATTATGTACCTCGCCCTGCCCTGGTTACTCTCTATTACTCCCTCATCTATCCATACCTCAACTATGGTATTTGTGCTTGGGGTTCTACTTCCCAAAATCATTTACGTCCTCTAATTACTCAACACAAAGCTGCTATTAGGACAATATCCAACTCTGGCCCCAGACATCACTCGGTACCCTTACTCAAATCTCTGAATATGTTAGATATTAAGTCACTGCACATTCTCTCTTGTGTATTATACATATATAAAATGCTGAACTGTAATGCCAATCCTAACCTCAAAAGCTTCATTGAAGGTTGTAACAGAACCCATGAGCACCGCACCAGAAATAAATAGTTTTGATATTCCTAGAGTACGACTTAATCAAACTAGAAATGCTCTACAAATCAAGGGACCCAGAATGTGGAATGACCTTCCCAACCATGTAAAAGACTGTACCTCTCTCAACCAGTTAAGATAAAAACTAAACACTACCTAATAAATTCCCTGTAACCTATCTCACTCCTCTATTGTCAACCCATGTCTGTTATTTTATTTTTTAATCAACACTGTTTGTCAACCTATTGTATTTGTGCTGCTTTTTCAGTCATGTTCCCCCCTTTTTTTTATCTTTATTTGTATTTGTTCTCAACACTTTTTATTGTTTATGCTCAATTAGTATTAAGTTCTAGATATTAATGTTTTTCTTGCCCGAAACGCATTGCGTAATAGTGGCTTTAGGCATTGTATGTACTAGCTCTATCTTTATATCGATCCATTAATGTAACATCACTTGTATGTATGTACCTTCTTAAGGCTATCTTAAGATGATTTCGGAGCTTTTTAGTGTCCCCGCGGCCCGGTCCTCGACCAGGCCTCCACCCCCAGTAAGCAGCCCGTGACAGCTGACTAACATCCAGGTACCTATTTTACTGCTAGGTAACAGGGGCATAGGGTGAAAGAAACTCTGCCCAATGTTTCTCGCCGGCGCCTGGGTTCGAACCCAGGACCACAGGATCACAAGTCCAGTGTGCTGTCCACTCGGCCGACCGGCTCCCCCTTGACCGGCCGACCTTACCTGAATAAACATATTTATTTATTTATTTATTTATATATTTATTTTGGACAGCATTCATGAATATCTCCTTGAAACTTCTTTGGAGATGACCCCCTAACCTATACTACTTCTCATGGTCATGTTTTTTATTAATAGATTTAAGTATACCCTTGAACAAATCCACAAGGGCCGTGATGAGGGTTCGAACCTTCGTCCGAGAGGATCCCAGACGCTGCCTTAATCGACTGAGCTACGACATAGTAAAAGAATTGCAACTGGAAAATCGTCCTGATTTACCAATGGATATGCCTATTGACATATCTCGGGTGCATGGGGGAATTGCGTAAAACCCTGGTTTGTGTCTCGGAGAGATTGCAGGATCCGTTGGTAAATTGAGATGATTTCCCCGTTGCAATTCTTTTACCATGTTGTAGCTCAGTCGATTAAGGCAGCGTTTGGGATCCTCTCGGACGTAGGTTCAAACCCTTGTCACGGCCCTTATGGATTTGTTCATTTGATGCATCACGCTAGTGTGATTTCTGTGTGTAAAGTATACCCTTAGTAAGCCATGGATTGTTTAACCTTTTAGTTGTGACTTGTTTAGTTAGCATTGGACAGTGGGTATTATAGAGGCTAAAGAGTTTTGTGAAGAAATGTTTGCACTGCTAGGTTGATGTTCTGTTACCTATTTCAATCTCCCAGTTGATATTAGCAACAGCAGCAATAAAGTGGATCATAGAAGTTTCATTGTGCAGCCTAAAGCTTATCATCATTGTATCTAGAAGGGGTTTATTAATGTTGGTTAGAAGAAATCTGGGGTAATGATATGTGGTCCTATCAATGATTATCCCTGAAGTAAGTGGAGAGGTTATGTTAGTCCAGATGTGGTCAAGAGTAGAGAATTTCAGTACAGTACTTCTAGTAGGTTTAGAAATTAAGGGTATTAGCAAGCAGGAATTCATACAGTTGAGGAAACTAGCAACTTGAGGGTTATCAGCCTTGCAGAGGTCAATATTAAAATCCCCTGATATTATTGTTGGGATTTGTTAAGTTTGTTTGTTAGTATTAGATTTCTAAGCAACATCAGTGTTAGGAATTCTGTAAACTGCTCCCACAGTCAAATCAGCTTTGGCACCCTTGACTCTGAAATGGGCAAAGATATACTCGCCACAGGTGTGTGTCTAGTTTACACCGCAAACTACACATGTTGGTTGATATTAAAACTTAAAATATGGAACAAATTTGTGGATTCCTGAGGGTGAAGCTGTTGCCCCTTCTGTGTTTCATTTGACCTTTTAAAGAGGTGGTCTGAATTAATATCCTCTGATTTGTTCAATATTTTAGAGGTTTCCTCGTTTATAGTGTTGTTAGCTATCAATTGTTCCTGGTATAAGAGTTGATTTAGTTCTGGGAAGAATTTTGTGGCTGTTGAACTTTCACTAAGGCAGATATACAGTACAGTATTGTATCCTTTTGAAGGAGAGGTCTTCATGCTTGGATACAGCAGTCCAGGTGGAGAGCACACCAGAGATTTGTATTGTTGAATAACCATTTTCATTTCCTTGAAGCCAAAGGTTCTTTTGACTACTGTATTCCTAATGTCTGTCCGAATATTCCTGTATTTTCCCAAAATGTTCCTGTATTATGCATGTTAGTGGCTTTGCAAGAATTTAAAAAATTGTACCAATATTATGTAATCTCACAAACCCATTGTACCTTCTTATAAATAAATTATTATTATTATTATTATTATTATTATTATTATTATTATTTGCTTAACTTTTTTTTTCTTTTTACTGCAACTCCCACTTGTGCAACTTTCAATTACTGGTGTATCCTAACTTCGAGGTTTTTTCTTCATCAATCTGGTGCATGGTAGTATTGTTGATATGATACTTGCAAATTGCATTGCTATGTCCTTCAAGCAAAGTCTTTTATTTATCAAGAGTATGGAAAAGCATTTGCCAGTCTTCTGACCATTTGTGGAGTATATGTAGCTCTCATTGTAGGGCCTCAATATTATTTCTACTTCTTACTTTACCATAGATCTTGATGTTCTCTACAAACTTGAGGATGTGGCTTGTAATATTCTCACCTGTCATTGATGTATAAGACAAAAATTATTGGCCTCAATACAGAACTTTGCGGCACTCCACTCGCCACATTTTTGCAGCCAGATTTATCTCTATTTAAGATGACATTCTGCTTCCTTTGCTTTAACCATTATTTTATCGATTCTAATAGTTTACATGTTATTCTATGAGCTTATAATTTCCTTGTTTACTTTAATACTTTCATATACAGTATATCTATAATTTATACACATGTATTTTAGGTTCGTCTTCTGTCCAAAATGCAGCAGCCGAGCCACAAGATAACACTCCAAATTCTTGGCCGCTGTATCTCGATGCCCAGGCTACCACCCCATTAGATCCACGGGTGCTTGATGCTATGCTTCCATACCTCATCCATCAATATGGCAACCCTCATTCACGAACACATGCCTATGGATGGGAAAGTGAGAAGGCCATGGAGAAAGCTAGACAGGTGAGAAAAGATATTTTGCACCATGAATGTACTGTAATTTTATGAGCTAGAGTTTAATGTTGTTTAAATATTTTGCTGGCACTGTATTTGCTATTATTAATTAGACCAGAAAGCATGATAGAATATGCAAATTAGCCTTACTGAAAAGTAGTGGCATCTAACAGCTTGGTTGACCAGTTCATTAACCAGGAAGCTGTAGGGACATTGATCTTGAAAATCACATAAAGGTAGGGTACACAGTAAGGATACCTTATGTTTTCATAGGATTATCATCACAGTATTGATACTTTAATTTCCATTAATATTTGAACAAAATATTCATGGGTTGGTTTGAAACTTTCAACTCGTGCATTATAGTCCATGAGATTCTTTGCATATTGGGAACAAGAGCCCTTGTAATTTCCCCTTGACCCCTCTGTGAAAGGAATTGCATGTGAAATTGTGATTAACCCAATAATATACTGAAGCAAACTGCTGTAAATGTGATTAAAAGAGGCCCACAACACACCCAAACTTCACTGAAAAATGTTTTGGAAGACTGCATTATCAAAACAAAGCTGACAATTACTGTACTGTACTAAAGTTATCTCCACACCACCAGGTGGCAGTCAAGCCACTGCCAGTCCAGGTGACTTGCCCACCCTTGCACTCTGCCACTGATTTAACAATGTATCGGTGTCCACAGTGACAAGAGTACCATACTGTTAAAACTAAGTGGTCAGATTTCCCTGGAACATTGGATCCTCTGTAGATTATATATGCTATTAATATTTAATGAGGATGTACAGTACTGTATATGGTTCACATTTCATGTTTCCTGTTACCACTAACTGTCTCGGCTTGGTTTTTTTGGACCTTACCTGGTGCTGTCTACAAAGACTGTTGTATTTATACTCGGATAACAAAGAAATTAGTAAAATCCTGAGAGAACAGTATGAAATTCTGTTTAACACCCAGATAAACAACATCAAGGCTGAAGATTCAGACAGCTTCTTCATGGACGATATGCATAATTAAGATAATTTAATAGATAGACACAAATTATTAACACAAACACAACAGATGGAAAAAACTGACAACATGCAAATGGATTCGACTCCAGATCCTAACTCCTGGAACTTATTTTACCTCACATCTTTTCTTGTTGGGTTGCGATGGATCCCCCCTGCCTAGTTCTGATCCTAATTGTGTGTTCATCTTCTTAGTGTGTTTCATTATGTTCTTTGCTACCAGCAGATGCCTTTGTTACATACCCCACTCCACTTGCTGCAATCAGTATACTGTAATAAGTACAGTACTTCCAGCCCTGGAGGCTTTTAATTATACATCCTGTTTTATTAATATGACCACTGCAAGATGATCCTAAATTCTGTCATAATATTACTGTTTTATTATTATTATTATTATAGGCATAGCCATCAAATTGATATATAGATTTATACATATGTAAACTACATATCAATATGTGTGGCTGCACTTGAGCTGATGAGGTAACCAAGAATGTCTCAATCCACTTGGGCTCCTTGAGATATTCCATCCCATTTGGCAATTTAATTTTGTAGATTAGGACAGGAGCTTTGGTGTCCTAACAGCATTTTTGGAAGGCTGCAGTTTTGTCCAACAGACTGAGGGTGATTTGTCCCTGGTCACATCTCAGGATGCTGCATCAGTGAGTGTGAAATTTGATAGTAGCACTTTGGCTGAGCTGGTTCTGGCCCAGCATGCCACCTCAAGGTCACCTTAGCATGCGTGCACCACCCAGCAAAGGTTGAAGTTGACCGGGCATTTCCCGTGAACGCTCCGTCACACTTCAATGTTTAAATTCTTTCCAGTTTTTTTCTTATTTTTTGTGCTAAGTTGTTCATTTTAGTATCATATTGTTGGCAATAGAAGAGCATGCATTGTAAAGCAATTCCCATAACAATAGGATTATAAAAGGATTTTTGAAAAAAAAAATTATTTCGATAATGGCGGTAACATGATCCGCCAGCACCGCCACACTCAAATGTTTATACTTTACAGTTTTCTGACCTTCTATTTTGTGCTATGTTGTTCATTTTAGTATCAAGTTGTTGGCAATATAATAGCACACATTTTAAAACAAGTAAATCCCATAATAATGGGACTATAAATGGAATTTTTACAAATATATTAAATTTGGACGTCATTAACATCTTGCCGCAAACCACGTGTATTGATTTAATGACTGCGATAATGTCCTCACAAAGCTGAAGTGGTAGTGTTTGCCAATAGAGAAATTTATACTAAATACCAGCTTGTGCTGTGGAGTGAAGTTACATTCATGGCGAGTGGAACGTTCCCTGTCCTCAAAGTTTCCTTCTGCATTTTTAGTATTATTTGTTTTAATCACATTAAGTAATTATTCTTAAAATGTTTTGGTTAATTTTATTAGAACTGCGGGCAATACCAGTATTAACATAAACAGTATTTCCCAACCTGACTTTTAAGTTAAAAAAAAGGAGTGTTTTTATAATGCACCATATGGTGCTAGTAATCTTGCCATTATGTATTTATTTTCTTTTTAATTGTTTTGGTCATAGATTGAGATATTTTAAAATATTTTCTTAATTTTAGTGTAATATTATATTGAGTATTTGTACTTTGCTGTATAATGCTGTACTGTATTTATTCAGCAATAATGGCCTTGTTGGTACTGTGACATATATTTAATAAATTTATTAATAAATTAATGCTGCAGATAATCAAAATTTGCACAAGATTTATATAAATCTTAACAGTACAGTATGTTTCAAACTTATTTATGAATAAAATGCCCATTTTTATTTCAAAATAGCAAGTTGCAGACCTCATTGGTGCAGACAAAAAGGAGATTATTTTTACATCGGGTGCCACAGAGAGTAACAACATTAGTGTGAAAGGAGTTGCACGATTCTACAAATCAAAGAAACGGCATATAATTACAACTCAAACGGTATGTAAAGAAGAATGTGTAATGATATACATATAAGGTAGTAAATATGCAATTAGTTTTTAAGTAATTTACATTTAATAAGGGAGCTGCCTGTTTTGGTATATAAATTAGTTTCTGTATGTACTTTGCTGTTCCTGCAGTGACTCATCCAGTGCTAGCAAGAGCTAGTGATGCCTAATCTGACTTATAGAGACATAATCATAACTGTGCAACATTATTGGACAACTACTTCAGCCCTTAAGTGTGTGTTCCATGTTAGCACTTTCGCGTGCGACGCGGGTGCACTGCAGACTTTGACGTCATGCTCCCGGCAGTGTGGGCAAGCGTGCGGCGACACCGAAATGTGTGTATCCGTTTCAGTTTTCTCAACCTTAACCCTTGTGTGGCGCTGGGCAGCATTTGTCACCCACATGCGCATACCAAAAAAAAAAAAAAAAAAAATTTTTTTCTTCTAAACCTGTTAATTTGTGTTCTCTGATCAGGGAAAAAAATAATAAAAAAAAATCGTAAGTGGCATATATTGCCCTCTATAGGGTGGGGAATTCTGGCAAAAAACAGGCGCTAACTCAGCCTGCGTCCCAGACGGTCTGTTGCTCGCCAGCTGTCAGGCCAGAGTTGCCACAAAGAGATAATTACCTAATTATTTCAATGTCTGATTGATTTGAAGTAGTTTTTTCGCTGTAATATTATTCAATAGTGTGTACACTACACACCAGCCAGCCACTCGCTGCCACTCACTCCCTCAACACCTCACTCGCCCACATTCTCCTCCCACCATACTGTTTTTGCTTTTATTCACAATATACAGACGTTATATATAAGTACAGTACATTCGTGTTCACCATAACGAACCACTAAGTTGGCATGCTCACTGGCAGTGGCAGCCCGCCACTGGCTGCCACTTCCTCCCTCCCTCACCTCACCTGACTCACCCACATTCTCCTCCCACCATACTGTTTTTGCTTTTATTCACTATATACAGACGTTACATATAAGTATCTGCATGTTTTGTTCACAACTGTACAACTAAGTTGATATAGTTAGTTCAGGGACTAAGAGACGTCGCTACACACAGTCAGTTGGCGGCTGCCTCCCTCACACATTCAAGGTTCAGACCCACTAAAATTTCACCCCCAACAATACTGTTTGTGGTGTTATTACCCTATATACAGATGTTATATATAAGTATCTACATGTTTTGTTCACCATAACTGTTCAACTAAACCGGTATAATGCCCAAAGAGCATAGTGGCCACCCCTACCAACATGACAAATCATGCAGATGTTGCCATACCCATCACCAAAATGGCTTCTCCCCCACACTCCTTTTGCTGTTATTACACTGTATATACACGTTATATATAAGTATCTACATTCGTGTTCACCATAACGTTAGTATTATTTGTTTTAATCACATTAAGTAATTATTCTTAAAATGTTTTGGTTAATTTTATTAGAACTGCGGGCAATACCAGTATTAACATAAACAGTATTTCCCAACCTGACTTTTAAGTTAAAAAAAAGGAGTGTTTTTATAATGCACCATATGGTGCTAGTAATCTTGCCATTATGTATTTATTTTCTTTTTAATTGTTTTGGTCATAGATTGAGATATTTTAAAATATTTTCTTAATTTTAGTGTAATATTATATTGAGTATTTGTACTTTGCTGTATAATGCTGTACTGTATTTATTCAGCAATAATGGCCTTGTTGGTACTGTGACATATATTTAATAAATTTATTAATAAATTAATGCTGCAGATAATCAAAATTTGCACAAGATTTATATAAATCTTAACAGTACAGTATGTTTCAAACTTATTTATGAATAAAATGCCCATTTTTATTTCAAAATAGCAAGTTGCAGACCTCATTGGTGCAGACAAAAAGGAGATTATTTTTACATCGGGTGCCACAGAGAGTAACAACATTAGTGTGAAAGGAGTTGCACGGTTCTACAAATCAAAGAAACGGCATATAATTACAACTCAAACGGTATGTAAAGAAGAATGTGTAATGATATACATATAAGGTAGTAAATATGCAATTAGTTTTTAAGTAATTTACATTTAATAAGGGAGCTGCCTGTTTTGGTATATAAATTAGTTTCTGTATGTACTTTGCTGTTCCTGCAGTGACTCATCCAGTGCTAGCAAGAGCTAGTGATGCCTAATCTGACTTATAGAGACATAATCATAACTGTGCAACATTATTGGACAACTACTTCAGCCCTTAAGTGTGTGTTCCATGTTAGCACTTTCGCGTGCGACGCGGGTGCACTGCAGACTTTGACGTCATGCTCCCGGCAGTGTGGGCAAGCGTGCGGCGACACCGAAATGTGTGTATCCGTTTCAGTTTTCTCAACCTTAACCCTTGTGTGGCGCTGGGCAGCATTTGTCACCCACATGCGCATACCAAAAAAAAAAAAAAAAAAAAAATATTTTTTCTTCTAAACCTGTTAATTTGTGATCTCTGATCAGGGAAAAAATAATAAAAAAATCGTAAGTGGCATATATTGCCCGCTATAGAGTGGGGAATTCTGGCAAAAAACAGGTGCTGACTCAGCGTGCGTCCCAGACGGTCTGTTGCTCGCCAGCTGTCAGGCCGGAGTTGCCACAAAGAGATAATTACCTAATTATTTCAATGTCTCTGATTGATTTTAAGTAGTTTTTTCGCTGTAATATTATTCAATAGTGTGTAGCACCAACTGGCACACCCGCAACCTAATGTGTATACTCGTTCAGTTTAAAACACAAATTTTCATGTTACATGTTGCATGTTACATGTTTTCATGTTGGCCTGATCAACCAGGCTGTGACTCATACGTCAGGCTCATACGTCAGGCTGCGAGCAGCCGCGTCTAACAGCCTGGTTGATCAGTCCAGCAACCAGGAGGCCTGGTCGACGACCGGGCCGCGGGGACACTAAGCCCCGGAAGCACCTCAAGGTAACCTCAAGGTAAGGTACATCTTTCATTTTGGTATCAAATTATTTGCAATATAAAGGCACACATTTTCACTCAATACTGAGGCCCCTCACACCCGGAATTTGGCCCACGATTTAAAAAAAAATGGTGTCTGTTTACAAGAGCCCTGATGAAGGTGTGGTGAACCCCTCGTATTTGCGGTCCGTTTAAATCTTGCGTAGTACTCCAATACATCATATGATGTGGAGCGCAAGTTACTGCAAGTCACTGAAAACATCATATGATGTGTTGCACACTTAAGGGTTAATTCTCGTGCTATGTCGCTCGTTTTGGTATCATTGTGTTCACAATTCCCTACAGGGGTATATGCATATAAGGTCCAAAAGCCCAGCTTGACACCCCACAGCAAAGCTTAAATCATCAAAAGTTACTCCGTGGGTGCACAAACCAGTAAAATGTGTTTACTCGTTTCAGTTTTCTCACCTTAATTCTTGTGCTACGTTGTTCGTTTTGGTATCAATGTGCTTGCAATTAAATTCCCTATAGGGGTATATGCATATAAGGTCCAAAAGCCCATAAATTCAAAACTAGTCCCATAATAATAGCACAATAAATGGAATTTTAACAAATATTTTTAAATTTGGACCACAAAAGTATTTATAATCTTTCAAGTGTTCTGGCCTCAATTGTCAGGCTACATTGTCATTATTGTATCAAAAGAGAGAGAGAGAGAGATAGAGATAGATAGATAGATATTAGCTAAATGCTAGTTGATTTACGAATCTGGTGAAATGGGAATAAATGAAAGAAAAGTTATAGTGGCAAAGACAAAGATATTCCTTGTAAAAGTGTAAATGGCAAAGAGCTAGAAATTGTTAAGACTAGAGACATAACAGTAGCCCACACTTGGCATGTTATTCAAAAATTTGAGACTAGGATCTGGAGACCTTCAAGGGACTGAAGCATGAAAAGCTTCCAGTGGAAATCTCCAAAGAGGCCCCCGGAGCATGCAATAGGCAATCCCGGTAGAAACTGTTCGTCCATTCCTGCCATTTGTAGCCCAGAGGATACACCATTCATGTGAAAGTCTTTTTCAAGACTCGGTTTTTTTCCAAGACACACTCCTGGCATTGGAGGGGGTATTTCTCCATGAACAAGGTGATGATGTGAACCTTGCTGGAAACGGCTCTCTAGAGAAGGGATAGGAAAGTAGCCCCTGGTATCTCAAACCATTCCCAACCAAAGAAGGCATTGTGAAGGGATGTGGCTAACCATACACTCTTCTATACCTTTCCCCGTTCTCACCCTCATGCTGTATGAATGTCCATATTATATAATACTGTATATGTTCAGAGAGATGGTTGGAGGTAGTGAAGGGGGATTTCTTATTATAGGATATTACATCATAATGTTGGGATCAAAGATGGCCGATTTGTGTTTTTCAAGAATTTATAAATTTTAATATGTATTGAGATATGCTCTGAATAGATGCATGGGGATACTATTCTTGATAAAACAGCATTACAAACAAATTTAATTATGCACATATTTATACAGGGGTGCCTGGTGGCTGAGTGGACAGCACTCAGGACTTGTAATCCTGGGGAGCGGGGTTCGATCCCCAGTGATGGCAGAGACAAATGGGCAGAGTTCGTTTCACCCTGATGCCCCTGTTACTTAGCAAAAATAGGTACTTGGGAGTTAGACAGCTGTTACGGACTGCTTCGTGGGGGGGGGGATGATTGTTGATTAATTGACAGTTGAGAGGCGGGCTGAAAGAGCAGAGCTCAACCCCTGCAAGCACAACTAGGTGAATACATAATTTTTATCATCGACATCCAATTTCAGGAGCACAAGTGTGTCCTCGATTCGTGTCGTGCCTTGGAAAATGAGGGTTGGGAGGTGACATATTTACCAGTCCAGACATCTGGCATCCTCTCATTGGCAGCTTTGGAGGCAGCCATACGTCCAGACACTGCACTGGTGTCAGTAATGATGATCAACAATGAAATTGGAGTTATTCAGCCAATCAAGTGAGTCTTGTAAGAAAGGTCAGATTTGTTATCAATCACTGCAATATTTTCCAGATACTGTACAGTATACACTGCATTATGCAGCCCATCCTCCTGTTTTGGTAGTACTTATAGTAACGATAAGGGTCATAGTACATATACAGATGTACAACGAAATTAGAAAGTAGAAATTAGCATTATTCAGTTGGACAAACCAGGAAAACTATTTTTTACTTGTGTTGCAAAGACAAACTAAACTAACCCAGTCTTCCTAGGCCTAATAGACAAATATCTGAGGCCTAATATAGTACATATGTGTGCTATACTAGGAATATTTAACTTTTTTTTTATTAAGAACTCCTTACTAGTCAGTATACTACTATCTAAAAGCTAAGTACAGTATATATGAATTCGTGACTATTGATGATCATTACAATAGGTACTATCTAAAGAGGAGGATGGGTTGGCATTATGATGTACAGTATCAATCCTTAGTTAGAACCAGTCAAGCAGCCCTTGATTTTTTGTGGTGCAGTATTGAAGAGTGCTGGCTCCATGTTATGTGGGTAAGCACTTAAATACCAAGTTTTGAGGTGAATCTTGATATTGTCAGTTTAGCACATTAACATGATTGATGGATGATTCCAGCACCACTCATTCTCTGGCCATGTATCAGATTCCCATACACAAGATAAACTTGTGTTTTATAAACTTTCTGGGGGGAGCCCCTTCGGCTCCCCGGAGCTTACTAGGCTGATAGGCTAATGTCAGAATTTGGCATCAGTCTTGTGTATGGAGTTCTGTGGGCCTACTGGGGACCACGAGCCAAAACCTGCCCCCCTCAGAGAGGCATGGGGAGCAATGGCCTATAGAAACCCCCGTGTGGTTGGAAGCATTCTATGTCTGCTATCGACCGGGTCAGGCACCCAGAAAGGTAAGCATCCCAAAACAAACCCCTATTCTGGTGAAAGTATTGCTACCCGTCAGTTCTAAGGTTGATGCTAAAGGCTGAGGTCATGTGCTCTGGCTCCGGTGGTTGTTTCAGCACTGTACCTTAGCGGTTGTTGTGGTGTGGTGATTGTCTTCTTGGTGGTGCGTGAGCTGGGAGTGATTCTCCAGTACTTGGGCTGCATGCGCCTAGGGTTTCCTTCCCTAGGTGCCCTGTAAGTACTGCCCTTGGGGCTTGGGGTTGCCTTCCATAAGTTCCTTGGCCCCTGCCATGCCGTTTATTGCTTGGTTTTCGGCCGCCCTTTCTGTGCTTGGGTGTTCTGTCTCCCTTCTTCGCCTTGGGGTAGGGGACAGTTTGCACTGGTAGGGGAGCAGGGTACTGTGCAACTTGTTTTCACCAATCTTAGTGGCCGACTCTGTTCCGCCTGGGTACGTTGTCCTCTTGCGGGGTTTTCTTTTTCTTTTTGTTAGTCTGCCTGGTGGGGGAGTCTGCCTTAGTTCTTTCCCCGTGTCTGGGTACTCTTTTTTTTCTTTCGGTGGTTCCCCCTGCTAGGTCCCTGCGAGTGTACACGTCCCGGGGGTTCAGTTCTTAGAATGTTGTTTGGTATTTGTGGGCGCCGGAAAGCAGTACCCTGCCTGGGATTACCTGGGCATGAGTCCCTGTAGGTAAATGCTCAGGACCCTGGAAAGCCCCTAGGGGGCGTGTGGATCCGATGGATGTGGCCCCAGAGTCCCCCCCTTGCTTTGAGCGAGTTCGAGGGTTGCTTTGTCCCCTTGTCTCGGGGCGACTCTCATTGTTTTGCCTCCGTCTGCTGCCTGTAGGGTCGGTGGCACCTTCGGCCCGGAGCCCTGCGGGTTTTGTTGCTTGTTTGTGGCTCGATTACACAGTCTTATGCTGAGTATGGGGGTGCAGGCAGCACGGGCGTTGCAAGTTTCGATGGTGCAACGCACTAGGTCATTTGCTCCCCGGGAGCCCTGGGGCTGCCCTGTTTTGGTTGGTATGATGTGGCTTGTTGGATGCTTCGGTTTTGTTCCTTCCGCGCCCCCTTGTCTTCCCCTGTTATGGTCTTCCCCCCTCCTCCCTGCATCCGGATCCTTACCGTTTGTGGGTTCAGGGTCGGGGTGGGGCTTCACTGGTCTTGAGACTCGGGCGGTCTCGGGGATTTTCCCCTTCCAAGGTAGCGACGGGGGCATTCAAGCCTGTTCCTCCAGGCGTGTTGTATGAGTTTGCCAGTGGGCTCCCTTCCTTAGTATTTGTCTGGTTTTGTTCAGGGCTTGTGGTTACGAGGAGCTCGGCCCCGGGTTTTTGTCCCCCCCCCCCTCCTCTCTGTACATGTTTTTGGGAGTTTTACGGGAAGATTTTGTTTCTTCTCGTATTCTTGGAACGTCTGTCGTCTTCCGGTACTTTCTGGGGCTTGCTGGTCCTTCTCCAAGCTTTTCGTTTTTCGGTCCTGTTTCGTTCTTTCGTGTCTGTCTCTCTCCGTGCAGTGCTTGCACTGTCTTGTGCTGCACAGGGTTGCCAGATTGCGCTCCTTGTACTCCAGTTTGGCTCTTTGTAGCCCAACAGGGAAGCTTTGCTATGTTTCTTTTTGCTCCTTCCTGCTCTTTTCGACTACGGTTGGCGGCTGCCCTTTGTACTCTCATATGGGATTCAGTCATTACCAACACTGTTTTGTCTCTTTTTTTTCTAGTCACATTCGTGGTTTCTTTCTTCAGCTCGCGACTTCTGGCGACCCATGTCTGGCATCCCTGCTGCGCATGCGCTGCTGTTGTTCATTTTGATACGGGCGGTGTGCACATGTGCTGATGTTTTGCGTCCCTTTTCTCTCGGGTGCTTCACCTCTCGCTCTTCTCCATTCTCCAGTCTACGCCCGGTTGCTCCCGGGAGTGTTCTGGATTGCTGCTATGGGGCGGACGCGGGATTTTCCCTGCGTTTGTGTGTGGGGCTCCTCCGTCTCCTTTACCCTCTTCTGCATATGAGGCTCTGCCTTCTTCCACTGGCAGTGCTCCCGGAATCTTCTTGGCTATGTTGTGTCGTGACACGTTCAAGAAGCACGCAGGTGTCCCACCTGCGTGCTTCTTCTTGGCGGCAGTGTGGGGTTTTTGGCGGTCCTTCCTTCTGTCCATTCTTCGGTAGCTGCGTTTGTTGGCGTGGCCTTGTCCTTTTCTTGTGGAGGTTTACTGTTGCCTCGTATTGTGCAGCAATGGCCGAACCTCTTCGGCTTGCTTTCGGTTTTGATGTTAATTCTGCGCCGTTTCACAAGCTGTCTCGTGCATTGTTTTACCTCTGGCCTGCTCTTGCGCCGCCTGAGCCATTCTGGTAATTGGACAGAGTGCTCTTTTCTTTCTTCTTGGTTTGTTGTGGCCCCTTTGGTTTAGGTTTGTTCTCCAAGGCTCCTTTTCTGTTGGCATTGGCCTCTTGGGGTCGGGTTGGGGGAGTTTCATGCTCTCTTCCCACGCAGGGGTTTCTGCTCTTTTAGTCTTCTTGATAGTTTTGTTCGTCTGCAGCCGTCTCCTCCTTTTCTGGCAAAGATTGAGACTGCTGCTTTCCGGAGGGGTCCCTGGGTTGTTGATGGTTGGTTGGGCCGAGGATGCATCATGTTCTGTTAGGTGGCGGCTCTTCGCCGTTACTTGCGCACCTCGGCCTCTGTGTCCGGGGGACGTGCTTTGGGTTGATCCGGTTTCCATTTCTTCCCTGTTCACGGGTGCGGGTCTCCCAGGGTGTCCGCAGAGTTCTTACGACTAGCCAGCCTGCGTTCTATCACTGTGCCAATGACGTTCATGTGTTCACTGCATTTGCTGCTGTCTTTGGCACCATGTCCTGGGCAAACATTCGGGCACGGGGCTTTTTGGCGGTCGTACTGGGTCGTGGCTGCTCGTTACCTCGTGCATGTCCCTAGGCTTAGTCGGGCCTGTGTCGTTTTGGGTCGGCGGTTGCAGCCGGTTGTCTCGACTTTTGAGTTGTGGAGTGCCTCCGGGTAAGTCCCTATGTTCTTCCTCTGAGGGTAGTTAGCTCCGGAGAGCCAAAGAGGCTTCCCCCAGAAAACAACACCATTTTCTGGGTGAGACCCGGAGGCTACCCGGCATCCCTCCCTCTCCCTGGTCGGCGTTTTTTTTTTTTTTTTTGCGTGTTTTGACATCCAGCCTCAGAACTGACCGGTGGATAGCCGGCGTGAGGGGTCTGGGGCTTCCCCCTTGTCCCCGCTGCACAGACAGCGGCGCGGCGACGTGTGACGTCATGATCATTTGCTCGTTTCTTTAGGGGAGTTCTATCCACTTGTTCGGTTTTTGGTAGCAATAATTTCACCAGAATAGGGGTTTGTTTTGGGATTTGGCACCTTTCTGGGTGCCTGACTCGGTCGATGGCAGACATAGAATGCTTCCAACGAAAAGGGGGGTTTCTATAGGCCATTGTTCCCCATGCCTTTCTGAGGGGACCAGGTTCTGGCTCATGGTCCCCGGTAGGCCCACAGAACTCCATACACATGACTGATGCCAAAGTCTGATATTAGCACATCAGCCTAGTAATCTCCGGGGAGCCTCCGGGTCTCACCCAGAAAATGGCGATTCATTACATTCAACGCTGTTTTTTTTTGACTTGCCAGGATCATTTAGAGCATGCTTGACATTTACAAAGTTCACTGTGGCACTGGTGCTCATGTGTCATCTTGCCCAACTGTGTATGATCCTGTCCAAGGACACAGTAGGATCTCTCTTTAGGGAGCAGCAAAATGATCTATTCAGAAAGCTGCTTATTCACTGTCTTTTTTTTTATATAAATGTTTTTGTTTCAGAGAAATTGGAGCACTTTGTCATGCTCGAAAGGTATTTTTGCATACTGATGCTGCCCAAGCTGTTGGTAAAATTCCCATCAATGTTCAAGATCTAAATGTTGACCTCATGTCCATCAGGTAAGAAGTGTGTGTTAAAATAAATTTAATCACTATGTATTGCCATACTGTACTATATTTAATTGGCCCTGTGTAAATGCTGTTTTGTGACCTCTGCTGTAAATAATTTACTGTACTTTGCTTTGTAGATGCATAAAATTGAGTCTGTTTCTGTACTCATGATTGGCCTGAGTGAGCCTGAGTATTAGGGAGCCGGTTGGCCGAGCAGACAGCACACTGGACTTGTGATCCCGGGTTCGATCCTGGGCGCTGGCGAGAAACAATGGGCAGAGTTTCTTTCACCCTATGCCCCTGTTACCTAGCAGTAAAATAGGTACCTGGGTGTTAGTCAGCTGTCACGGGCTGCTCCTGGGGGTGGAGGCCTGGTCGAGGACCGGGCGGCGGGGACACTAAAGCCCCGAAATAATCTCAAGATAACCTCAAGATCTCAAGAGAGTGTGTTTGCTATGAGTTCATTAATTTTACATGCAGTTTGTCAACAGTAGAAAGGATATCACTTTTACTTTGAAAAGTTCCTCCTAGGTGTTACATTTATATTACCAATTCTTATGTTGTTAACTCTAGCAAGTTAGCTGTGCAGTTCTTGTTCCCAGGTACTGTAATATTATTTTTTTATGTTTGCCATAACATCAAGTTTATGAATTTTGATTGAGACCATAATTATGAATTTATTTTAGCCAAGCTTTTTTTGTGTACATACGGTATTTAATTTTAAATGATATAATCAATACTTATACAATTAGGGGAGAATGGGCTATCATATTTGCCTATACATATGAATGAGTCTTTATTCAATTTTTGTATATAGCCAACTGTACTCAGTAGTGGTTTGCCCAATGAGTATTGTCATTCTTTCACAGTCCGCTTTTAAAATTAGTGCATAAGTAATTGGTGGCAAGTGTTTTATGCACTTGCATAAAGTATGCTTTGTCATTGTATGTGTGTGTTTGTGAGAGCTGTGAGGTTGGCCACCAGGTCACAACCTGGCTCAGTTTCAGGGGTTCTCTCACTGTTTGTTGCTAGGAACAAGACAATTAGGTAAGGGGAAAAGCCGATAGCTTTTACCTCGGTATCTGGAACTTTGCTTCTAAATTTAGATGGGCTGCAAATCTGGTGACCTATTATTGGCCTGCGTGTGAATTTGTACGGTTTCAAGTGTTAGAGAGTATGGCACTACACTTTGGGAATCCACAACTTGATGTTAATGGATCATGGAGAGCCATCTAGAATGGTATGATCCTGATGGCCATCCTTTTTGTGCCCTACAATTTCACTTTTGGATTTTAAACTGTTTGTTGGACCCTTATACTTGACTGACTGATTACACAATGGCAACCAAGTATATACTTACTAGTGACTGTGGCGATGTGAGATCTAGCTTTTTATGCTCTCCTGCCTACTGCCTAGCCTTTTGTACCTGGCATGTTTTATTTAAACCTATTGATGTTCAAATTGTTACACCTATTGTTGAAGTTGTGGGCAGAAGTGGCTTTCACAACCTCTTCTTTCAATGCATTTTGCTTGCAGACGACCTGAACAGGGCACAAGAATTCTTTGCATTTCCACAACCTGGATGCATTCCAGTATCCATTAATGACTTTGTATATTAGTATTTTTTTCTAAAGAGGCTGGCTTTGTCCATCTTGTCAATTCCTCTCATTATCTTGTATGTTGAGTTATGGTATCAGGTTTCTGCTTCTCCTAGCTATGGTATCTGGTTTTTGCTCCTTCTAGCTGTGCTATCTAGTCTTTGCTTCCTTCTAGGTCTGGCATCAGATCTTTACTCCTCCAAGCTGTGGTATCAAGTCTTCTTCCTGGTTGTGGTACAGGTATTGCATCCCATCCTCCTGTTTTGGTAGTACTTATAGTAAGGATGAAGACCATAGTATATATTCCAATGAACAGTGAAATTAGAAAGTAGAAATCTGAACTATTGAGTTGGACAAACTGGAAAACTATTTTTTACTTAGTGTTGCTTTGACAAACTAAACTAACCTAACCTCCCTGGGCCTAATACACGATATTTGAGGCCTAATATAGTACAGTACATGTGTGTGCTATACTAGGCCTAGGAATATTTAAGTTTGTGTTTTAGTTTTATTTATTTTAAAAGAATTCCTTACTAGTCTGTATACTACTATCTAAAAGCCAAGTACGTACGAATGTGACTATTGATGATCATCACAATAGGAACCATCAAAACAGGAGGATGGGTTGGGTATTGAGACCTTGCTTTGCCTAGCTGTGGTATCACATCTTTGCTTTATCATGGCTGTGATATCACATGTTGGCTTTATCCTGGCTGTGATATCACATGTTGGCTTTATCCTTCTTGAGATTATCTTGAGATGACTTCGGGGCTTTTTAGTGTCCCCGCGGCCCGGTCCTCGACCAGGCCTCCACCCCGAGTGACAGTACTAACACCCAGGTACCTATTTTTCTGCTAGGTAACAGGGGCATAGGGTGAAAGAAACTCTGCCCATTGTTTCTCGCCGGCACCTGGGATCGACCCCAGGACCACAGGATCACAAGTCCAGCATGCTGTCCGCTCGGCCGACCGGCTCCCTGGCTGTGGTATCATGACTGTGGTACAGTATTATATCTTTGCTTTATCCTGGCTGTGGTATCACATCTTTGCTTTATCCTGGCTGTGGTATCTGGTACTTAAAGTACTTCCTTCTCAATTTTCTTTGAGAAAGGGCAGTTGATTTGTAAGTCTCCATTTATCAAGTGGAAGGAAATTGTCTGTCTTCAGTCTGCCCTTGGCAGGGAAACATTTCAACTTTTTCAATCTAGCCTTCTATGAGCCTGTATTGGTTCAAGCAATGGTCTACCATCAACAGCCTGTCCAGGCTCCTCTTTTACTGAAGCATTAATTTGCTGAGATTTTTAACAATGAACGAACTGTCCCTAGGGCAGTTCGTTGTTGCCTTCAACCTCGTTCTGACAGTTCCTGCGATGGCGCTGGAACAATCATATTGGCATTTGCCTTTCCTTTTGTGATTTTCGGCACCATGGCTTTGCGCCCTGGAGAGGTGTCTCCGGACCGACAACCAGAGCGCAACTCCATAGTCTCCCGAGACTGATGGATGCCCACTACTACTAATTTGCTGAGATTTTTAAAGTTTGCTCTTGGCTTGTCAGTATTCTCAAACTTTTGGTATGCTGAAAGATCTTGGAGGGAGTTAGCTGGAGTGAGATTTTTTCTTTCACTTCAGCAATTATCAAGGCTATGAGTCACAAAAACGTGGCTAAAGTATTTTGACCAGACCACACACTAGAAGGTGAAGGGACGACGACGTTTCGGTCCGTCCTGGACCATTCTCAAGTCGATTGTCTCTGCGCGAGGTTTCTGTCCACGCTGAGCTGGCCTTAGGACACCTGCATTATCATTTGACAAATGTACCGCCCCAGTCAAACTCCCCACCTGATAATGTCCTCAGAGCGGATCGACAATCGACTTGAGAATGGTCCAGGACGGACCGAAACGTCGTCGTCCCTTCACCTTCTAGTGTGTGGTCTGGTCAACAATTATCAAGGCTTTGACAGAGCCGTTTGCACGGGTTTTGTGTGACTTGTTGACCGATTTCTCCACACATTTGGCCTGCACGTGTGCAGTGTTGAGCTAGTTACAAGTTTGGGTGGATAGTGGAGCTGCTTTTATCCATACTTCTAAACTCTCCTCACCTATAATGAGATATTAAGGTGTAAGACAAGGGCTCACCAAGCTCATCTTTACATTTTGTAATGACCATGATAAAACCTAAGGCATAGCAAAGGTTGAATATATTTATCTACACACATTCATCCATATATTCAGTAACATAAGTAAATGTTATATTTAATACTTTTTAAAACATTTTGAAAAAAATGATCTATATTTGTAAAAGAAAATGTAGGTAGATTTCATTTTGAAAATAGTATTAGTCACTGCATTATTGATTTGCTTTTATAGTGGTCACAAGCTTTATGGTCCAAAAGGGGTTGGCTGCCTGTATATCCGCCGTCGACCTAGAGTACGTGTGGAAGCCTTGATGAGTGGAGGAGGACAAGAAAGAGGAATAAGGTAGGTCATCTTGAATATTATGCTTTTTGTTTTTAAATCAGTAGGGGCCATGAGGAGGATTCGGACCCATTCATTAGGTACAGTGGTACCTCGGAATGCAATTGTCCCTGTATGCGAGGTTTTCGGAAGGCGAGGTGTATTTACTCCAAAAATTTGTCTCGGAAGGCGATGGTTACTTCGGGAGGCGAGTTTGGACGCGAGTTTGTTGATACGCGTACAGCCGACCTAGCGCGTGGTGATTCGGCGATCGTCGCCCCTCCGCCCCGCCACCCCTCAGTTTATTATTGTCTCGCGCTCAGTGACTACCCCCACATCAATTCTTCTCGCGGATTTTCAGTGTTTTGTTGGATTTTTGGTGATTTGTCTATACAATTTGTTATTATATATCTCACCATGGGTCCCAAGAAAGCCAGTGGTAAGGATAAAGGCCAGAAAGCTCATGTGAGGATGACAATAGAGGAGAAACGAGATCATTCGGAAGCATGAGAACGGTACACGTGTTGTTGAACTTTGTAGGCAGTACAACAAAGCCACATCAACAATATGCACTATACTTAAGAAGAAAAATAAGATTATGGGTGCTAAAGTGGCAAAAGGAGTAAGAACATTAACGGCACAAAGACCACAAATACTTGAAGAAGTGGAAAAGTTGTTATTAATTTGGATACACGACAAGGAGTTGAGGGGTGATAGTGTTTCGGAGGCCATTATTTGTGAGAAAGCCAGGGTGTTGCACGAAGACCTTCTAAAGAATACCCCTGCAACGAGTGATGCAGATAAGAAAGAGTTTAAGGCAAGCAGGGGCTGGTTTGAAAAATTTAGAAAGAGAAGTGGTATCCATAGTGTTACAAGGCATGGGGTTATGTGATGTGATTATGGAAGGGGACTCCCCTTCCAAACAGTAACTCCTCTCCTCCTCCCCCCTCCTCACCATCTTCCATACGCCTACAGCACTCGACAGCAAGGTAAGTAATAACTGGAACACAGTTTTGTAGGTTTATTTAGATGAATTAGGTAAATTAGGTATAAAAATTTAGTTTGATGTGGGGTTTTTGGGGTAGTCAGGAACGGATTAATTCATTTCCCTTTATTTCTTATGGGGAAATTAACTTCGGAATGCGAGTTTTCGGAAGGCGAGGCGTCTCCAGGAACGGATTAAACTCTTATTCTGAGGTATGCCTGTACTCCCAAGCTAATGCCCTGGACCACTACACCATGAATGGTCAAAAGCAATGCAACATGGGATTCCATTGAATCCTCAAGGGGTTCTGAGGTTTCCAGTTGAAGTTTAATCAGAGTTTCACGCATTGCCACCATGCACTCTGGCTTTATCGTTTAGATACTTTTGACCATAGCATGGTGTTGTGTTCTAGGGCATTAGCTTGGGAGCACCAAGTGAGTGGGTTCGAATCCTCCTCGTGGCTCCTAATGATTTTCTCGTTGATACATCACGTTAATGGGATTTGTTTTTTGCATTGTGTTTTGTGCATTTTTTTTTTTGCACCCATGTTAATATGACCATGTCATGCTAGGTGACTCCTGCATCGCTAAGAAACTAGGCAAGGGCAGTTGGCAGAACTGAGAGAAGGAAAATCAAATTTTGTAGTTCGAGAAACAAAAAAGAAATTTGAGACAGTTTGCAGCTTGATTAGTACTAGAATTGAGAGGGCTCAGTCATGAGGACAGATTCAGGGAACTCACCCTCACAACCTTTAAGGAGAGAAGAAACAAGATGGAATATGATCTCTACGTAAGATACTGAGGAGTAGACAATATGGACAAAGACTTTAAATTAAAAGGAGGCAGAACAATGGGACATTTGTGGAAGCTGGACACAATTAAGTTATAGAGATTGAAGAAAGAGTATTAAAGAGTATCAATCTGATTCTCACTCCCCACAGACACTGATAGATAGGTACTTGAGCACAGTGGCTACAGAAAAGGCAAAGAGGCACTGAAAGAGCTTTATATAACAGACTGTACAATCAGGTATAATTTGACCATAAACACTTGAGGGAGGGACTGGAGTCTGTATATGACACTTATCCATTGAAGATCTATGATTCATTACTGGTAAGAAGGTGAAAACTCAGGCATGTTTAAAATGGACAGTTGGCCCAATATTCAGAATGGAGAAATGGTTGGAAATTATATATAAGCTCTAAACTACACTCCAGTATCATTACAAATCAACAGAATGTTAATTGATTGCACTCTCAAAAATATTCATCATGTTGGCTTTATAAATTAACTATGGCGAGATTGTGACAATTCCAACTCAGTAAATTCCTGTTACATTTTTAGAGGCTCCTACAGTGTTTGTCAGAAGACATTTTGGTGGAAAGCTTAAATTGCCTTAAAACATGACCAATTTGAAATTTTTGAACCAATCCGTGAGATAATTAGTTTTTCCTGTGTGGAATGCCTTGACCTTATCCTTTATCATTTGCTAGGTTATTAGAAAACTATTTCTCTTGGGATGACTTGGGATGACTAAGTGAATCCATCAATTCACTTAGGCTATGGAATGTTATTTTACATTTAAAAAAACTTTTTACAATTATTTAGCAATTAGTTTTTTATCAACTTGGATTTACTGTTCATACTTACTATTCTGTTTCCAGAGCAACATTCTTGAGTCAGTTCATTAACACACACATCCTTTGAGCTCTTCCACTGCACACTTTACATGCCAGTCCACCCTCCATTGCAGAATTGTTAAAATAAAAAGTTCTTATAAATTTATGGACAGTTAATGTGGCAAGTTCAAGAAAAATTAGCAAAACAATTGAAGGTATTAATACTTTGTGATAAGTCGATGAAGGGATATTTAATCTAGAGTACTCAGACAAAATGTTTTTAATGTTTATAATTAAATTATGTTCCTAGATATTAAAAAAGAGGGGGGATTATGATAAAGTGAAACAATTATTTGTCATAGTTTGGGTGTGGAAGCTGAAAAAGGGGGTTGGGGGGTCTACCCCCCCTGGAACTCACGTATAGTTAACACACCAATTATAAATCATACAAAGTACAGTGACACCTCGATTAACGAGCGGCTCTATCTACAAGCATTTCGAGTAATGAGTACTTCGCAGCAAATTTGTCTATTGATGAGCTTCACCTCTATTAACGAGCAAAACCACATGGTGCTTCTTAGCATCTCTCTGGTTCTCGCAAATTCTCGGACGCCTCCGATGCCAGTGTTGTTGTTGTATCGCGTACGACAAACATCCCTCTGCATTTATTTGCACTTTTTTTTTTTTTGTGGTTTTGTGACGCACGATGTCGCCAAAGAAGCTACTTGTGTTGTCAAGAGGACAATGCAACGCATTCTTGATAGTGTTGTTAAGAGGAAGAAAGAGACAATTACTGTGGATTTAAAGAAGGAAATTATAGCAAAGCATGAGCGTGGTGTCCGTGTGACTGATCTCACAAGGGAGTATGGCAGGGCCTCATCAACAATTTGTACCATTAGTAAGGGGATGAGGAGGTAAGGGAGGATGCTGCCTCTTCCAGTGAGATCAGGGAAGTGTTGAATGTTTGAAAAGGTGACAGCATTCTTGGAAAAGCATTACCCTGATAAAGTAGTGACAACTCGGTGTGTGAACATGTTTAATGACAATTTGCTGTCTCATTTTAGGGACATCCTAAAACAAAAAAAAAGCAATTGTCAATAGACTCGTTCTTTGCAAAAGTAAAGACCAGCAAGTGATAGTGAACCACAACCCAGGTCCCAGTAGGGTGAAATTCCCAAGAAGAGAGAGGCCGCCTGATTCAGAGGTGGATTCTCCTTCCACACTATAACCCTTCTCCTCTTTTCCACCTCCCCATCGTCTCCCTCAAGCCAGCAATGACTCTTCATAAGGTAAAGTAAACATGAAAACAGTACAACAAAACATTAAAATTACATGTGCAGTATTATATTTACATTACAAAATGTCATACACGTATGGATGTTTTTGGGAGTGAAACGGATTAAATTTATTTCCTTTATTTTAACTGGGGAAATTTGTTTCTTAAGACGAGTTTTCCACATAACGAGCTCGGTGCCAGAATGGATTAAACTCGTTAATCGAGGTGCCACTGTACATGACTTACAGCTAATGACAATTGAGCTTTTCTCAAAAATAGTTTTTCATTTTAAATGTTGAAAATGCACTTCTAATAATTCATTTCTGACATCTATGTTAAATATGAAACTAATCGGGCGTTATCTGCCATGACAATCGGGGAAATGACAGCTGCATACAATTGATTTGGGCCATTTGTTTTCATGATGGGTTGCAAACAGAACTGCTGCTAATCACTGCTCAGTGATTCTAAAATATAATAAAACGTAATATGTGTTGACCAAATTTTGAACTGCCACATTAGTTTCCATTCTTCGAGGCTTGACTATCGGCTTGACTACTTCATATATTTTGGCTATTAATTGCATATTAAAATCTTTCAGGTCAGGAACTGTACCCACTCCTTTGGTGGTGGGCCTGGGTGCAGCCTGTGACATTGCCAAGCGTGAAATGCAATATGATCATGACTGGATAACCAAGTTGTCAAACATGTTAGTAGAATCCCTCACATCAAGATTGACAAATATTGTTAGGAATGGTGACCCTGAACACAGTTACCCTGGATGTGTTAACCTCTCCTTTGCTTTTGTTGAAGGTGAGCATTCATTTTTTTAATGTCTTTTTATTGTAATTCCTTTTAAAAAACCCATTGAGATTATTGCTACAGCATTCTTTAAAACTATTTTTATTGCAACAGGTGAAAGTTTGTTGATGGCCTTGAAGGATGTGGCTTTGTCATCAGGCTCTGCATGTACTAGTGCCTCACTTGAACCTTCCTATGTGTTGCGTGCCATAGGTGCAGAGGAAGATTTGGCTCATTCCTCCATCCGTTTTGGCATTGGTAGATTTACTACAGAGGAAGAAGTCAAGTACACAGCTAATAAATGTGTGGAGCATGTTAATCGCTTGAGAGAAATGAGGTAAGGTAAAATTATCAGTTGTTTCATACATTGTTTGACTGAATGTATTGACCTTTGTTAAAAACACATTTTTCTTGGTAGAAACTTATTACTATAAGTCATTGTACTGAGATGACTGCCTTACATTGTTCAATTAGTATCACTTTCTGCTTGTCATTACCTAAGTGTAGTTACAGGATGAGAGCTATGCTTGTGGTGTCCCATCTTTCCAGCACTCTGTCATATAATGCTTTTAAATTACTGACGGTTTTGCCCTTCATCACCTTCTCACCTAACTTGTTCCAACCGTCTACCACTCTGTTTACAAAACTGATTTTTTTTTTAATTCTCTGGCAGCTTTGTTTCATTAGTTTAAATCTATGACCTCTTGTTCTTGAGGTTCCAGGTCTCGGGAATTCTTCCCTATCAATTTTATCGATTCCTGTTACTATTTTGTACGTAGTGATCATACTGCCTCTTTTACTTCTATCTTCTAGTTTTTGCATATTTAATGCCTCTAACCTCTCCTCGTAGCTCTGTGTGACCACCTTTTACTATCTGGACTCACTATACCAGCTTAGTTGTTCGCTATGGTAAACAAAACATGCAGATACTTATATATAACTTCTGTATATAAAAGCAAAAACAGTATGGTGGGAGGAGAATGGTGGCGAGTCAGGTGAGGTGAGGGAGGGAGTGGCAGCCAGTAGCGGGCTGCCACTGCCACTCAGCATACCAACTTAGTGGTTCGTTATGGTGAACACGAATGTAGATACTTATATATAACGTGTATATACAGTGTAATAACAGCAAAAGGAGTGTGGGGGAGAAGCCATTTTGGTGATGGGTATGGCAACATCTGCATGATTTGTCATGTTGGTAGGGGTGGCCACTATGCTCTTTGGGCATTATACCGGTTTAGTTGAACAGTTATGGTGAACAAAACATGTAGATACTTATATATAACATCTGTATATAGGGTAATAACACCACAAACAGTATTGTTGGGGGTGAAATTTTAGTGGGTCTGACCTTGAATGTGTGAGGGAGGCAGCCGCCAACTGACTGTGTGTAGCGACGTCTCTTAGTCCCTGAACTAACTATATCAACTTAGTTGTACAGTTGTGAACAAAACATGCAGATACTTATATATAACGTCTGTATATAGTGAATAAAAGCAAAAACAGTATGGTGGGAGGAGAATGTGGGCGAGTCAGGTGAGGTGAGGGAGGGAGGAAGTGGCAGCCAGTGGCGGGCTGCCACTGGCTGCCACTGCCAGTGAGCATGCCAACTTAGTGATTCGTTATGGTGAACACGAATGTAGATACTTATATATAACGTCTGTATATTGTGAATATAAGCAAAAACAGTATGGTGGGAGGAGAATGTGGGCGAGTGAGGTGTTGAGGGAGTGAGTGGCAGCGAGTGGCTGGCTGGTGTGTAGTGGTCACTCCTCGTTGCTTTTTGACTCGTAATACCAACTTGCTGGTTTGTTATGGTGAACAAAACATGCAGATACTTATATATATAACCTGTGTATATAGTGTAATAACCGACAAATAATTTGTTCACTGCTTGATGAACATCATGATTGAATCAACAATATGCACACCATATTTTTGAGTACAGCGATGATTCACTCATTTTATTATATAAATATATCACACTACACACTATTGAATAATATTACAGCAAAAAAACTATTTAAAATCAATCAGAGACATTGAAATAATTAGGTAATTATCTCTTTGTGGCAACTCCGGTTTGACAGCTTGCGAGCAACAGACCGTCTGGGACGCACGCTGAGTCATCGCCTGTTTTTTGCCAGAATTCCCCACCCTATAGCGGGCAATATATGCCACTTACGATTTTTTTATTATTTTCCCGTGATTAGAGAACACAAATTAACAGGTTTAGAAGAAAATAATTTTTTTTTTTTTGGTATGCGCCTGTGGGTGACAAATGCCCGGCGCCACACAAGGGTTAAAATATTTGTAAAAAATTCAATTTTTATCCAATCAACTTTTGGGTGGTTTCAAAATGAGCGCCTTTGGATTGCGCACAATTTGATACCAAAATGAAAGATGTAACACGAAAATGGATGTCAGAAAAATGGAAAGATATAAATAATTTTGTGGTGACGAGCGACAGTGTCCAAAAGTTAAAATATATGTTAAAATTCCATATATTTTTCTATTATTATGGGACTAGTTTTAAAATACCCACCTCTATATTGCGAACAATTTGATATCAAAATGAAGGACGTGAAGCAAAAATTGATATCAGAAAGATAAATACTTTTGTGGTTCAAATTTTAAAATATTTGCTAAATTCCATTTATTGTTCTATTACTATGGGACTAGTTTTAAAATACGTGCCTTTATTTTGCGAACAATTTAATACCAAAATGAAACGCGTAACACAATTTTTTTTTTTATCAAACTGAACGAGTATATACATTAGTCTGTAGGTGTGCCAGTTGGTGCTTGTTCACGGGTAACTTGGCCAACTTTAGGCTTTGCTGTGGGAAGTCACGGCGGGCTCTTGGCTTTTGGACCTTATATGCATATACCCCTGTAGGGAATTCTATTGCCAAAGATACCAAAATGAACAATGTAGCAAGAGAATTAAAGTGAATTAAACGAGAATTAATACTGAAACGAGTATACACTTTTTGGTGTCGCCGCATGCTTGCCCGCACCCAACGGCACATGACGTCGTTTATGCAGTGCGCACGAACTTTTTTTTTTTTTTTATCTAGAACCACCCCTTGATCAGAGTTCTTTAAAGATTTACAACATACACACTCAACAATGTGTAGCTACCACCAACACTTTCCTGCCATTATTATGGGAACAATATTATATATGTATAGTTAACATTGTACCATATGAGAATGCACTCCTAGAACATTTTTTAATCAGACATCTTTGACTAGTACTGTATTTACATTACTTTATTAGTACATTACTGTACTTGTATTTAATGTCTCCCTCATCCACCAGACAAATGCTAAGGCATGTCACTAGTTACAATATGAATACAAATATTTTACATATGTACATAACCAAAAACAGGATGCGAGGGGACGACAGTCTCATTGCGTGTTTGGTGGGCGAGACCAGACTACTGTACTTGGTCTCCGTGAGGCCTCGAGCAGTTTTTCTTTGATACCCATTGTGTTGAAAGGGGGGGAGGGTTACTGAAATCACTACATATACCTTACCATTACACATTTTCTCACTTTTCATGGGATGTTGAAGCATCAACCTGGAAAAGAAACAATGAATAATATAGGAAAAGAAATTTATAGGTATTAAATAATATAATGCAGTATTACTGTACAAATATCACGTCCATTTGTTATATGCATCCTCAATATGTAGCATAAAACTAGTATCTAAACACACTAGCAATTATAACCTTATGGGTAAAAATATATTAATTCTGTGACTAAGAATGTCACGTGGAAAAAATAGCTTATTTTAGGAATATTTAATAATATAGATGTTATATGATATCCTGGCATGGAAGATTGGTAATAAGTTCTCAATGACCCTCATGTCATTAAACCATACTGATTACTGTATTTATAAATTACAATACTGTATGTAGCTTTTTTGTTTTTCAGCCCTCTGTGGGAAATGGTGCAAGAAGGAATAGATCTGAAAAGTATCCAGTGGTCACAGCATTAAAACTTACCTAAAAATTATTTCTGTAGGATTGTAATAATACAGCTTTATTGATCCTGAAATAATTTTCAATTCGTGATTTGTTGTTTTAATTTTAACTCGAAAGTCTATTATATATTTTGGGGGGGAGGGAGGGAGGGAGGGGGGGGGAGAGAGGGGGGGGGGAGAGAGAGAGAGAGAGAGGGGGGGAGGGAGAGAGAGAGAGAGAGAGAGGGGGGGAGGGGGGGGAGAGAACGAAAGAGGGGGGGAGAGAAAAAGAGAGGGGGGGGGGAAGAGAGAGAGAGAGAGAGAGAGAGATCATTGTAATTACCATATTTATTTAAGTATAAGTTGTAAATAATTTGTCACTTTAAAAACATTACTTCTGTGGACAAATACAATCAGTATTGTAGTTGGCCTGAGCATTGGAAGTTTTAAGTATGTTAAATTTTTAATACATTTGGATCTTGCTCAAATTGATTGTGTTTGACTGGAACTGATTGGTGGGCTGCACTGAACTGGCCAATGGTCAAAATCTTGATGAACCAAAATATGGTATCCACTTTACCCAGCAGTGTTGGTAGACTGGCCCAACTCATCTGCCCAAATTCCAATCATACAGTTGTTTACTATATTTCATATTTGTCAATGTATTCACTATTCTCAGGATTATTTTAGTAGTACATTAAATACTAATAAAAATATTTAATTTTTACAAAGTGTTTCTTTATTTGATTCTTTACTAATTTTTTTGTAATAGTGTGTGACTTTGTGGTGATTGTAACCCTATTGTAACCTGAATTTTCCCTGGACATGCTTTTTGTCCTGTGATCGTGTGGCAGAACCTTTCGGTATTCAGTGGTTTCTTACCTATATTTCTTTATTTTTTCATTATTTGTGAGTTTAAAAGATGTCTGTCAGCAGGAGTAGTGAGGCTAAACTAGGATTGGGAAGAGGAGGTATCTTAATATAAAAGAAAAGGCTAAATAATTTCAGAAAAGTGATCTTTGAGTGGCAGTGGTTTATAGTGAAAGATGCTGTAGAAGTCAAAAGTATAAGGCATTAGGTAAGATTACTTACAAATGGTTCCTGCATCAACAGCATAATGTAGTGTTTTGTCCATCAATCACTAAAAGTTGCACAAGTGGGAGTAGTTGTAAAAAAAAAACTAATCATCCCCTAGGAATAATCAAGTATACCTTTGTCTTTTAAGGTCAATTTATTTTATTATTAAATTATAAATCTCTGGCGCACCCCCACTTGGATTATTTTATCCAAGCATAGAGGCCTCATCTTCAGAAAGACACAGCTTCATTGGAGAAAGCTTAACACTGGGCAACAAAAATCATTCCAGAACTAAGTCACCTTTTATACCAGAAACAGTTGAGAGCAACGGGCTAACAAGAATGCAAACAATGCAGGACAGCAAATCATTGCAACTTTTAATATGTACTGAACAAGTTGGAGGATATTGATCTGGACAATTTCTCTGAAAGATCAGATGTAACAAACAAGGAACAATGGTTTTAAGCTCAACAAGCCACAAATGTAGGGCTGAAAAAAGGAGATGCAATTATACCCACAGGGTAATATGGAACTGCCACCTGCAAAAGCCGTAAATGGCAAAAAACTGTTGAATTTTAAAATCCTGCCAGAAAAAATTTATCTGGACAAATGTGGAACCATTGACAAGTTGCCGGTTTCCTGTCCTTGTCATGGCTCTCGGTTAAGTTCGGGTAAATAACCTACCTACCTACCTATCTTGGCAAATCATTGTGCTCAAAATCTTCCACACTATCAGAGAGAGCAGGACAGACTATTTAACATAGATGGTACTGTACTACTTATGAACATGTGAATACTACTGAACACAGGTGCAAACTGAATACGGAAGCAATGAGCCAAGGAGAGATTAGAAAGGTCGCTTCAGTATTATAATAAATAAATGTATAGTGTCCATCCTCAGACCATTGAGGATGGGCACTATACCATGAGAAACCACACTTCCCCCCCTCAAATCACCTAGAAAGTTATATAGATATTTGTGATAGTCTGAAAGCATATTATGGTTCCAGTAATAGTCTACATGCAAACTGGGAAATGAACCTTTGTCATAAACAGATTATTCTCAAGTTATAACTTTGTTGTATTATAAATTGTTGGTTCAAAATATAAAGCGTGCATGCTGAGAACATTTTCTTTTAAGAATTTGGTTTTATGAAAACAGAATTCTCAGGTACACTGAAACATTCTTAAATTTCATATTACACATTATTGTCAATAATACACCATATTAACGTAACCAAACCTAACCTATCCATGGATTGAGAGTAAATAATGGCACTAATTATGTAAGTGTTCTCAATCCATTTCCTTGAGCATGTTTCCTCCCTGAGGACATTGTAACACCATAAAGGTGTTTTGTATTTAATATGTATATACAACATGAGTTAGCTAGACAAGAGTTTGAGAGGCGACAGTCTGTTGGCCTGTAACCATTAAAAAAGTCACACCTCCAGTCTTAATGACGACGACCTGACCATGGGGACAAACTGACCCATGGTCAGGTCGTGTGATTTGACCTGGAATCTGCTAAGCTGATAATTGTAGCCAGGTAGCCGGGTGTATCCTTCAAACAAGCCGCTGTTTAAGGTGTGGTACTCAACCCGTTCTCGCAAATTTAATAAGTCAATATTGACTTATTAAATATGTGCATAGGTGACATACTTAACATAATAGACACCCTTAAAAAGATTCATAGAAAACACCGACCTTACCTAACCTACTTAGTATGTTACGATAAGCATCTTATTGCTTCGTAATTACAATTATTACCTAACCTATAATAGGTATAGGTTAAGTAATAATTGTAATTACGAAGCAATAAGATGCTTATCTTAAGATACTAACAAGGTTAGGTAAGGTCGGTGTTTTCTATGAATCTTTTTAAGGGGTATCTATTATGTTTAGTATATCACCTATGCACGTAGTTAATAAGTCAATATTGACTTTACGAATTTGCGAGAACGGGTTGGGTAGTAGATGTCCGGGGGCTATCTACTTGTGGGCGGAGTTTAGCTCCTAGGTTCGCAATAAATACCCGGGGAACTGGACAAGAGAGAGCTATTTCCCCCATCCCCCGTTACAACATGCTGATAAGCATTAAGGTGGTGGAGGCAGACTTTACACACATGAGCACCCCAAACTGTTCAAAGATATTAAAACATGAATAATGAACCTATCCTAAAGCCATATTTAGCCCGTCCTGTAAACCAAAGGCCAAAAGTGATTCCATGCACCTAATAAACCCCCTGTTTATAAATGAAAGATGGTTTACACGACTCACAACTGATGAAGTTTGAACACTTCTACAAATACACACAGCCCCGCTCTTGTGCCAGGTAAGTCCACTACGGGTTCACCATAGCTCGTGCTACTCGGAACGTTTTGTTCTCAGTAGCTGAATCTTAAACAACAACTACAAATAATCGCCAACAGAACCTAAACACCTAACCTAACCAATGCCTAAATATGCACAATATGGTAATACTGTATATAATAATATTAATTTATATTTGAGAAAATTTCTGTTTTGAATGGACAGGAATATTAAAATTGATAACTGTGTCTAGGGTCGACCGCTGGATGGAATGGACTTGGTCTGAGGACAGGTTGGCCATATTACTATCACCATTGCTATATAGCGACAGTTGGTATTGGCGTCGACAGTGCGTCGTAAGCGCCCAACTGAGCCAGAGCCATTGGCTAAAATTATTTGAACGCCATATTGAAATTTCCAGCATAAAGCTCTAGGTGTGTGTAAATTTATATTTACATGCATTACAGGGTTTTAAAAGGTACTTTAGGATTACGAATATTAACAATTGTCTAAGAAAGGAATTATTTATTATTTTAATCATACATGTTAAATGAGGTCTTTTTTTTTTTTTAGTTTAATTTATTATGCACCCCATACCCATCTTATGGGCGGTAGTGGAAAAGGACTAAACCCCACAATTCATTTAGCTAAGCAAGTTACAATCTTGATGAGCTAGTTACAAAATTCAGTGGGCCAGCCAGAGGCTTAAGGCCCGCGCAGGAATATCCCTGCAAAAAAAAAAAAAGTAGAAGTCGTCACATCAACAATGGGTTCGAAATCGAGCTCAAGTACAGTTTCTAAATTAAGCAAGTGACATAAGTGGAGAGCTAATGGCACAATCCTTTACACCACCTCCCACGGGATGGGTATGGGGTGCATAATAAAGAAAAATTGAATTAGTGTCACAATTGATATGTTTGTCCTGCACACCGCCCCCCGATAGGTTACAACCACTTAGTTACTACCTACAGTTAGCTAACTGGGGATATTTGGCTAAAATTTCTCGTAGCAGATCATTTTGAATGAAATATTTCATTCAAAATGAATGAAATATTAGTTGTTTTTTTACCCAGAAGGGAATTCGATTTTAGCTAATAATTTTTAATTATGATAAATTTCAGATGGAAATAGTGGGAATTTCATTTAATAATACATATTTACTAAGAAGACTTTCTTTCATAAAAAATGCTGCTACATAAGTTCATCTAATATTCCCATCTCACAGGATGGTTAGTCATACTAACTCGGGGGAGAAAATACCTGCCTCAATACAAAAACAAATCAATTAAGAAGATTTTAGCAGTTAATAGCATTATATTGGGGTTTTAATATTGACCAATAATTTGTTTACGGAACATACAAATTCTGTGTTGGGGGGGGGGGGGGAATGGTACAAATATAAGTGTACGATGCGCAGCGTGTACGAGGTGACGCATGTGTGCCAGCCGAGGGTAACCATGACAACGGGTGTGTGTTTAGTAAACACGGCCAGCCGGGCCTGGCCTGGTTACAGTTGACAGTGTACCACAACTGTGTCAGGTGTGTACTGGCTCCCACTTACTTTCTTTCTGCCCCTTGTGTCTTTGCATATATTACATACAATAATGTATATTATTCCAGTTTGTCTGCTGTATGTCAAACGCTTCTTAAGATAATATTGTGAC